TGGTATATACATTATAGTCTGCATTTATGATACTAAAGTCATTGAAAGAATAAGTACATAAATACTGTCTAGTTTACGCGAGTAGTACATATTTAAATAAATCACGTTAACGGTTTAAAGCGATCTTATTAGATTATAATTTGAAAATTATTTTAACTTCAGCCTTGTGTTTCCGATGCTTTGCAGCAGCCGTGGTCACGGAGAGAGTCCGGAAGGTCGGGCCGTATTAAAATAATATACAAATTTGTATATTTTTTTTTTTTTTTTTTTTAGTAGTTAACTAAAGATGAATTAGAACGTATTTATTGTGTGCACTGTGTGTTAATTAACAGTTAACCTCTACACATAATTATCACCCCGCAATTAGTATATAATGATAAAGCTCTGAGGTTCCGGAATTAGACAAGCATGGTATACCTTCATAGTACTCGTACGATGCTAGCCGTGCCAATTAGCACTTGAAAAAGCCGACAAACCAAAAACAGTTTAACTGGATTGCGGGTGTAACCTAGATGAGTTTGGCGCAGGATTGAGGCCGAAGCCGTGACCTGAGATGTGCCAAGTTGAGGCAAACATTAGAATTTTGATTTATTGCACGCTCACTTGAGCCCGGTGTATATAAGCCTTTCAATGGTATTAATATTTTTCGAAAATCTAACGGATGTTACCTTGTTTTAAATTCGTCTTATACTAAATACTGTCTGTAGTTTACGTGAGAAGTTCACATTTAAATAAAACGTTTTAACGGTTTAAAACACAATATATAGTAGTCGGCGCGACCAGTCACAAATCAATAGAGTTTATTGTGAATCCGTTTTTTCGTTTTTAGTTGGTTAACGTTAACTGCTTAACAGCAAATATAAGACGACATCACAACTTTATTATCTATAATTATAAATTATAAAGCTGAAGAGTTGTTTAGTTTGTTTGAACGCGCTAATCTCAGGAACTACGGGTTCAAATCGAACAATTATTTTTGTGTTGGTTTATCGAGCAATCGAGAAAGGCTATAGAACACCGCCCTGTGACTATTAAGAGCGAGAGAATTGAAAAAGTTTGGGAAAATTATTCACCATTATGGATTCCCGAGGCGTACGCCGCAAAAACGGTTCAAGATACCCCAAAAAATATGTATGAAAGAATGATCTTTTAAAATGATTAAAAAAAAATCCACGACGCTATATGTCTATCTTATAAGATTAACTTGCAAGAACGACGGACGTCGTGGATAACAGTTTAAGTTTATAAAGAAGGAGTTTGCAAAAACGAATTTGGAGCCAAAATATTTCTTACGAACGCGCCGCTGGCCCAGCTTGTTTGTTTTTAAACCCGGGGAATTATTTTTTTTTTTTTTTTTTTTTTTTTTTTTTTTTCGGGGGGGGGGGGGGGGGCGGATAAACGAAAGAAGAAATTCGAAGCTCATTCGTTTTAACCATATTATAAAACGTGAAATCATATTTCCCTCCCGCGGGGCATGGGGCGAACACATTGTAGTGTTGATTTTTACTGATCAGTTTTATTTACAGGCGATCAGACTTCTATGCCCGAAACAGTATATTGTTTTCCGAGGACACGAAGCCAGGGCCTCTCGCGCTTAACGCTTTGCTAGGCAACACGTTTAACCATTTAGCACATAGGCGGTTATATCATAGTTCATTATTATCTCATAGAGACATATTCCGATGTTATATTTAAATCAAACAAAACTATTTTACGGGGATTTGGTGTAATGGTTGCAATGTATGCTTGTTACGCTAATAATCAACGGGTGGTGTTATCGATCCCCACCGGGTCCAACATTTTTTTGAATTCAATTTATAATTGTCAGAAACATTCAAGTTGGACTTCGCCTGGAAATCTGGATATTAAATGTGTGGTAGGGATAGGGAAATTCCGTCCGCGTCACGAACCACCGCCCACAGATAAAAAAGGCGTTAAGTTTCGCGTTTAAGTATCAGTCTGTGGACTTCCCTATTCCAAAGGTAGATCAAGTGTAGATGTTATATAGCTGAGGTTGAGGTTTGCCATCCATCATCCATCAATTGCCATCCAAATAACACCATTCTCATCCGTCCTCCTCTACCATTAAAAAATGGACTTATTAAGTACAATTACTCAATTTGTTTTACCGAAATCATTGTTTAGACAATGTTTCGCAAATTTCAAAGGAAATATAAACAATATCCACTTCGTCATTATAACGTGCAGATAAACTAGCAACAGTTATGAAGTTAATGTCACAGAATTGTATGTAAGCTCATAATTATAGTTGAACTAAATATGCTTACGCCGTAGCATTGTTAAGGCGCAGCCCATATTATAAACTAACTTTCGCTTGCGGCTTTGTGTGGAAAAGTGAAAAAAATGGCGCAGTATGTTTATTTTCTAATATTAATTTAATTAAAAATGATATCTCAATCGTCGTTGCATTTTTTAAACTATAGGTGTATAATTGGTAAAAATTGTTTTTTTTAGTAAGATTTTACATTCTAAGACCCGGTAGATAAAGTAGATATAGGGAAAAGTTTAAATGGCTTTTTCTTTCACATCTACAAATACATACCATTTGTTTAATTATCCTTTAAGTTTAAATAATATGAAAAAAAGGGCTAAGCATGTAATACTTGTAAATTATTAATAAAATCTTTTTTTTATATAATACCACGAAGCGCGCCGCCTTAAATGTACGAAACGTAGATGCTTACAGTCACGAATGTCGAATAAAAAATATGGAGGTCGAGTCCCTAATTTATGTTGTTTCATAGTGAAACACGCGATATCTTCGTGCATGATACTAGACGGTTCGTTTGTGCTACTATAGCGCTTTCTAGGGCTTTGTTTGCCATCTGTTGTAACTCCAAGCTTAATAACGACGAAATACAAGGCAAACGGACTTTGTTATATAGCACGAAAATTTCTGTATTGTTTTCGGCGAACAATACTTGCATATTTTCAATTCGGGTACAGCCTGGTTCCGCTTGTACATCAAAAATAATCACGGAATGGAAGCGTTACATTATTTAATGTGTCCCTTATAATGGGGTCGGGAGAGGTTAAAAAAACATGTGGAGGGTCGAACGCGGATATTGGAGGGCAGCGGAAAACCTGGCCGGAAGTATCCCGCGACCACTGTAATACAGTCCAAGCGTTAAAGTGCTTCGAAATGTACAATGCTCGTACAAGCTGATTGATAGAGGTTCTCGATGCAGTGCAACTAAATTATTTAAATACGTTTTCGGGTAAGTCGAGCCCCTATTAGGAAAATGTATGAAATCGACGTGAACTGCACGTTTACATACTCATGTTTAAGTAACGTATGGAATTTCCCGGAGATTCGGGTAGGTTGCCTTAACACGAATTTCCATATAGAAATCAACGTGATACATTTTGTGTGTAAGCTCAAAATCGCTTTTATTGCTTAGTTTTTAGGATTGTTAATTACGCGAGTAGTCCACATTTAAATAAAACACTTTAACGATTAAAAAGGCGACTTATCGTTTATCAAAACTTATTTGAAACTAACAATTCTGCAAGGACCCGGCAAGTTTCGTCAAATACCAACTACGATGGAATAGAAGGCGCTAGCGTAGCAGTTTTTACTTTGACAACAGAGACACCCTCCATCTTTAGTCTCCCCGTGACCATGATTGCTGCAAAACTTCAGAGACGTTAAATTTAATTTTAAATAAGTTAAGAAGTGTACATATTATAAAGACTCACTACATCTTTTACCAGGCTGTACGCTCATGAGAGAGTTGATATTTAGGTAAATGATGAAGCCGTCTTGTTGCTATAACAACAAACAAAAATACGACACTTAAAAAATATTTACAGAAAGAATTGCTATATTTTTCATATAACTAGGATATCGAAATACACAATTATATGTTTTCGTCGTGTTTAGAGACGATTGACCTTTTGCGAGGATCGACACGGGAAAGGATATATATAAAAATGATTCTGTTATCCTTTTCGATATGTTATCAGATTAAAATGGTATATCAATAACGTCACCGATAAATACGAATATATTGCTACTTTAAATTGCAACGGTTTAAAACGAATGAAATTATATTTAATTAATTTTTAACTATCACTCTATATATACTCAAATACATTAATATATATATTTTGTATTTTGAACCAATAATATTTTTTTTATGTGTACTTGCATAAACTAAACACGTTACTCTTGAATTTTATACTTAAATTTAATATTGTCCGTAGTGTACGCGAGTAGTACACATTTAAATGAGTAGAACACTTTAAACGAAACACTTAACGTTAAAACGCGAAATATACTAGTTAATAATTTACAAATTATTTTAACTAACCGTGGTCACGGAGGTCTTCATAATAACCCGATTGGTAACGTTTTATTTAAATACCTGAATTTGTTATCTTGAAATAACCATAAGTTTGGAGGAAATATAGATGAAGCGAATTGGTACTCGAGTCGTGTAGACCGCTTCTCTCATGATACTTGTACCCATCCGATCAAACACATCTGGTGTACGTAATCTTGTTATAAGAAAAACTTTCTTAATAAGACCGTAGCTGGATCTGATCGTCCAATCCTCTCTCGAGAGGGAGACGAAATAATTACTCATGTCCCACAGTTCTACTAACCCAAATGACCGTTCTGTCGCGTGTTGATTCCTGATTAATTTATTACTCAACCCACATTACACCTATGGAAATTTGGAAAAAGGTTAAAGACATTTTAATACAATTAGGATCTTTAATACAGTATAATTATATAAAAATTGTGAATGATAAACACCATTGTTTTTAATTTAATTAAATTGTATGTAGTTAAAAGTACGATATTTACATTTATTCTCATATTGTTTTACAAAATTTGCAGGAGCGCCCATTCTACAGCCTTGGCTGTATATAAAAATAAATAAGGTCTATTTAATTCAGTTCACATAGTATGCTTTATATTATTTTCCATTTCTTCAGTTTTTCTAAGTCCATTGCAATATTCCGGTAGTCACTTATCGCCTAAAGCCATAAGGGTGGTTTGGTTGCGGAGGATAAGGTGGATATGGGGGATTTGGCTCTGAAGGATATGGTGGATTATTTAGTGGGGGATATTGCGGTGGGTAACTTGGTGGATGTGTAGGCGGATATTGAGGTGGATACGTTGGTGCGCCGAACTGTGGCGGGTTTACCTCTGGTGGGATGCTGTAGGGGGGTGGATGATATATCTGCTCGTGTGGTGGTAGTGGTGGTTGTCCGCTATAGTAGCAATGCGGTGGGCAAAACCCTCTTCTGCAATTTGGACCACATGGAAGCGAGTGGGGCGGTACCATTTCTGAAAGTTAGCAATTTTATTATTTCCTTTTAATTCGTGTTTCGGAAACGTTGTATCTAATGACTGAAACCAAATAAAAGTTTCTATACAACAAAAATATATAAAATAAATATATAGACATGAAATTAACAATAATAATGATAATATTTTCTAATTTTTACTTGTCTTCTAGTAAAACTTTGTATTAATTACTTGAAGAGGTTTAGGCAACAATATTAAATGTAATAACTAGACAAATTATGATGCCCATGAATTTTTCTTACTTTGTTATCATAAATACTATTAAAGAAACGTTTTACATTCAATAATTGTATATCTATAAAAATATATTATAATACTCGCCTATATATTCCGAAAATCTTATAACTGTAATTTGTATGAAGCCACACGGTAAAGTAACAACAATTTCGATATCTTTCGTCGTTTCGTTTTTATTATCGTTTGTTCATAGTTATCGATTAGATAAGATATCAATTCTTAGTACCAGTGGGTATGTATGTACAGTATTAGTATTTATTCTTTTCATTACTTGCTTTAATCCATTATCAATCATTGTACTAATGTGATATACTTCTAAGAATAAAAATTGCCTTGTGACTATATTAAAATTTATAAACAATCATGACAATAAAAAATCGATATTTTTTATTGTGTCATGATTTTTATGTTACGTATATTTTAACTTTCAGTATATTGTAGAATTTTTAGGATCACTAAATACTAAATAAGTATAAAAATGTTTAAGCGATGTACAAAAGGCATTCGATTGATATTATTTATGTCAATTACTACGTAGTTTATGTAAGTACACACCTATAACGTTAAAACGTCGGGTCGTAGTTAAAAATAATTTGGAAACAAATTTAAATGCTATATTTCGCGAATAAAATCGTTAGTGTTTTATTTAAATTATTTGTCCTTAAATATTTTTAAACCAAACAAGAAGCAAGTATCAATCTGTTAAAGATTTTCTAAAGTTTTCAACGGTTGTTTGTTGTAGAATTTTCTCAAAGAGGATGTTATTTACTTATTGCGCTTCGTTTACTTACAAGGTATTTAGCCCTGTGTCGTCTGTTCCCAGTTTTGTGTTTGCAAAATGGAATATTCCTGTTAGGGGAGACGGGAATTCCCAATCGATTTATAAAAAGGCTATTTGTAATAGCGGTTCTGTTGACACTTCTCCCTTTCTCCTTAAATGTCGAGAAACAAATAAATTATTCGTAATAGTTTGAGTTCATATTTATTTTAACTTTGTGGTTCTGTTAACTTGTACTTTAGATGGAGAACTTTTAAAAAGTAGTATATTACAGTATGTACTACATTACATACTTATATAGTCTGTAGTTTACCCTAGTGGTACACTTCTAAATAAAACGATTTAAAACGCGATATATATAGTTAAACAAAGCACCCGAACGTCGGGTAGATGTAAAAATAATTTTTAAATAAGTTTAACTAATGTATATGGCGTTTTAAACCTTTAAAGTGTTTTATTTAAATAAGTAGTTTATTGTTTCCTTTTAACTTATAGTTTTAATTACGATGCCATATTTGATATTCGGATTAAAAACAATTTCTTTTACGTCTTCTTAAGTCAAAGTAAGCACAGGTTTATGAAATTGTAAAGGTAAATCCAAATGAAATAATTTTATCCAAGACATTTAATCTGAAGCAAAACCAACAAGCGGGCTAATTAGCTGAAGAGCAGAGAATTCAGAAAATAAAGTGCTCGTCGTGGCTCAACTGTGACTCCTATTGACCGGAAAACTGTAAAAATTACTATATCCCGCGCTATTTTATGATTTTGATTTTTTAAGATAAACTACAAAATGAACCATGCTTTATTTTGTAGTTTATCTTCTACTAATTAAATTTGAATGAAATTAGAATGTTTATAAATTTTAATGCTCATATATAAAACGTAAAGTCGACGTCGGAACACGAACCCGCTACACTCCAACATCTTAAATTCTTATTTTATCAATTTAAGTAATGATAGAATGTGCAGGTAGAGTAGTATACTAACTTTGTCTATGAGGCCGGGAGTTCGAGCCTCGGTCATGCACCAAAATATTGATCTTTGTGTATCGTAAAGAAACAGATATGATATCTTTAAAAAAAAATTCATTAGCATGTGTTGTCTTCCAATGCGCATTTGTTGCACTAGTGGAAAAACTTCAAATTTAAATCAATAGATATTAATTGTATATTACTATGAAACGGGATATCTATAAAATATGACGGATTGTAATTAATAAACCGTCCATAATAGATAAAACACTTAATACAACATATCTCATAGTCATTCCCCTCCACGAACTAAAATAAATTCAATTTGCATGCAAATCTCGAATATTGTTAGGATTTTTAGTGAAATCGGCATATTTTTGTAGTAGAGGTTTAATCCACATATCCCATTGTGTTTGAATAAACATTTCAATCGGGAGTTTTTCATTGGGCGCGGTTATTCGAGCGGACGGTACCTACATTCGGCTCTTTTTTACACAACACTGCTCTGCGATGAATGGAGTGCGGTTTGGTATATTAGAATTTACTATGGCGTAGGTCACCGCTCCCGTGTTTGCTAATAATACTAGGGTATTTGAGAAAAATAAGCACGTTATGAACGGATTTCTGTTTAAAATATTCATAGAAATCTATTAAAGAACTTTGATGTATTTCTTAGTTATTGAACGTAGTAAGCACATATCGCATATAAAATAAAACATCATGGATAAATAGAATCAAATGCAATACAGCTATTAAATAATACTTTTTTAATTTCTCTGGCAGTATACGGCAGTAAAGTACATTTCATAAAAAAAAACTACTGGTCTACACGACATATTATACAGTTGTAGAACAAATTTTATGTTTAATTTGCGTATCATGTGTATATTTGTTTTGACTATGTGCAAATCTGTTTCACGATTGATTAAGATAGTTAGAGGGAAAGATTAGTATAAATAGTTATAAAATAATTATTTCGCAAAGCTTTGGACTTTGGTTACATTCAAAAGCTTCTCTCGAGGCGACTACATCTAAGTTAGGTTTAAGTTAGTGCCAGCTGCGAGCGCTACGCCTCTCCTGTGGCACATTTCTGACTCCATTTTGAATCTTACGAATACCTGACCGACTCTTCTGGCTAATATTTTATTTATTTGCTTCACTTCTCTGGGAATAAGTAAGAACAGAAGTTTATAACTTGAAATGTGCAATTATTTAAACTTGAAGATGCTAGAATTATGTAGATTTAGAAAATATTGTAGTAGTAAAACGGCAGGTCTCGAACTAACGAAAGATCTCATAACGATTCGAGTGTTTTGCACTTCGGTAAAGGTTTTTTAAAGAAAATATAAACATTCACATATTATTTAAATTATAAGTCAATATAAACAATAAAAAATTCTAAAATGTAAATAAAATAACAATGAAAAACGCGAGAAGAGCTTACGACGTCGTTTGAGACGGCACAGAAATCTAATTAACCTCTGTCTCGGCCTGCAAATGTAATTGTTTAGTGAAATAAATGGGCATAGAAATGCATCCCATGCCCAACGGTTTCAGAATTTATTTGTTTAGTTACAGTACAATATCGACTAAGAAGTTTTTCTCGAAAGCGACTCGTATGTTAGTTGCTCGTATCACGTCCCTGCCTTAGAAATGCTTGAAATAACACCAAACAAAGAATACAAAACTCGCGGCAATCGTAAAATACCCTTGCATAAACTAAAGCACACATTAGAATATAAAATTCGTTCTCCATTCGAATTCTATAAAGCGATACTAATGCCGGCCCATTAGGTATAACCTGTTCAAATAGGCGTGTCAATTTGTTTTATTAATACGCCCGAAGCCAAAATAATCTCAATAAAATATTCAAATATTAAGTGCAGAACCATGTCGCTGCAACGACGAGCTAGACGGAGGCACAGTACAAGCAATAATTAGTAACTCATCTTAAAAATACACCAGCGAGGTCCCATTTGCACCGTTGCGCACGTTCGAACTGTTGCAGTTAAAACACTCGGCCTACTGACGGTCTTGTGTTAACTGTGATATTGCTGTCAGGAGTTGCATTTGGGTTGTCGGCAAATTGAACATGTCTGGTCCGTGGTATTCCTGGAACAGCGTCGATCGAGACAGGTCAAACGGAAATAAAGCGAACTGCACTCAGTAAAGTTTGGACGTGTCTGATAGGTTGGCGGCTCGTGAATAAAATATAAGCCCTCCGCTTTTATTTTAGTGTATTATATTTTAGAATAAATGCATTTGGTTATTTCATGCAGCTTTTGTTTGTGCGGAACAAAAGAGAGTTTTTACACAATCGCTCCCATCTTGCGGGTCTAAAAGCGAACCGTTTTCTTGGAGACAACTTAATGTTTTAATGCATCTTTTGTCCTAAAAAAATAATACACATCATTGAATAGGAGTTGAAAATTATAATTTTTTTATCAACATGATAAGTATTAATTTAGAAAACTTACAGAACTAATAAGGTGTATCTAAATTCGCATTTTCTTAACTATAATTTTCTATAACCTCTGCTTTTAATCGCTGTCGTTATTAGTGCTAACGATAAAATATGTACCATCAAACTACTTTAAACATTAATAATGTTTAAAACTGAGGCTTGACATCGTGTTTGTTACATTTTGTTTTTATTATCATAGCTTCAATGTTGCACCTTATTGGTTTAATGTAATGGATAGAAATAAAGGTGGTTAAAAATAATTCTCGTGTTAGGTTATAAACATTATAAAATAAAAAATGGCGGAATATCACGATTCAAATGAAACACTTTAACAGTTTAAAACCACTGCAAAGCATCCGAAACGCCGGTCTGTACTTAAAATAATTTTCAAATAAGTTTAACTAATATGTATCAAGTTTTAAACCGTTAAGTTTTATTTAAATGTGTACTACTCGCGTAAACTACAGACAGTATTTAGTGTATCATGACTTAAGAAGCATAGTAATGTAGTTAGTTGAAGTGCATAAGTGCATCTAAAATATTTTTGATATACAACGGGGGATGCGATAAAGATAAAGAATAGCTCTCACCGGGGGGCGTAGTTGGCTGAAATATTGCGGTTTCGACTACATTAACGTAGTTGCGCCATATGTGGTCACTATTCGTTATATGCTTTAATTATGTATCAATTGAACCATTTTAAGTCCACTTACATTATTTATGGTGAATAAAAATTACCTTTTGTACCCTGGTAACTCGTCTCGCCACGACTCCTGCAAATCCAATTTCTCCACCAGTACAGAAGCGCAAGGAAAAAAATAGTTTGTAAATAACAATAAAACTACTCAAGTAGGAAAATAATGTAACATCTATTGAAACCTATTAGACATCAAGAATAACACCGTTTTATATACGACTTATAACGTTTGCGTTTTTATGATTCCAATATATCTTTACCAGAAGACACGTGTGTCTATGACAAATGTTATTGGTTTCATAATAAATACACTTACGTACCGCGCGGAAAAATACAGACGCAATACACAAAGTAGAGAAGCAATAACGCAATACTTTATGAAAGCCGCCGTTTTATTGTTCGGTAGTAAAGTGGAAATTTGCATCGGGAATCGAACCGCCGCGAAGCTGGCATCGTAAAGCGATCCCGGTGACCAGGGTTCATGAATAAAAAAGTTTCCTGCGCCGGCTCTTGCCTTGTAAGAACCTTTTGTACTGTCGTCACAATGTCGAGTTAAAATATTTACGCAAGCCTTCCGCTCTGCGGCTTTCACTCCACTCTTTTTTAATACATCCCTCTGGAACCTAATAGAAACAGATGGATTAATATTTGAAATTCTTTTATATTTGTTACGTCTCGCGCAATGACTTCGTGTTAGTATACATTACTTTTTAATCTACTCATCTCAACGAGAGACTGACTACTACTGGTCCATTGCCATGGGCACTGTTTGATCGTAAACTGAACAAAATTTTCTGTTTATTGTTTGGTTAAGTCTTAGAGGATAGAGGGAAAATTTATTTTTTATGGAAAATTCGATTAATATGGTTCAATTTTTCTAATTTTCTTTTGTTCCTAGTATCCCTGAAAGTCATGATGATCTAAAACTCTATTACAGCACAAAGCAATCTTGCTATGCATATGGGTCCCATAAGAAAATATTCATAAATATTCACTCGATTTTTCATAATTCTAAATTCATAAAGCTCAAGATAAATATATTATTATTTATTGTAAATAAATATATTAAAAGGTTATACCTACGGCTCGTTTCTTTCCTTTATTATAAATCCTATATGTATTTTCACCATATTAATACTAGCATAAGCAAAATGAATGGAAAGTATTAAAATCTTGATTCCGGTTCGCTTTAATATGACATCGCAAGTTTGCTATAACAGTTTACTCAGTTAGTTAAGAAGTTTAGGCGATTATCCGTAGCTGCGACACCGAAGTGGGGAAATTGAACTGCTCCGAATTCTATGAATTCAGGGACAGGCTTATCACGTGGCTCGCATTTGTTTCCTTAAAACCTCGCCAGGAATACAGCTAGGCTTACACTGCACATATATATATTTCAGGTTGAAAAGCGTGCAAGAGTCACGTTCAGGCAATATTTGCTTTATAAAATTCAGCAACTGCGTCCGTACTGTGTGCGTAGCGTATATACAACATTGTCGAGCTTTTGTTTTAACCTTAAGAAACTGTTTATTGGCTCTTCCTGCCTTACATAATGTTTTCATAGACTCTTTTTCGCCATGGCATTGTTTTCCTATTTTCAAGGGTAAGTGAAACGACACAATGGTTAAACGTATTGTGTTAAGTCTATATTCTGGTATTCGAATTACAGTAATTTTGTTTCGCTTTGGTTGGGTAAAGCATATAAATTTAGTATGAGACTATATGATTAACTATTGATGTATTTATGGTAAAATCCAAGAGTTTAATAAACCTATATAATATCATAAAGGTATAAGTATTTTGCATGAAATATTTTCAACATATAATATATGCATTAGTAAGTACATACAAAATTAAAACAAATCCTAGAGTACATACTAGCAAGAATATGCTAGTCTAACGATATCATCAAATTCAATTGAAATATTAATATTCAAATAAGAGCTTTGACACGCTGAAATAATTCTTCGGTTCAAGCAGGATATTAAAGTCTGTAAGTTTTGTATCTGAACGCCAAGGGGAGTAGAGTTATTACGTGCAAAGTTTTTGCTTACGCAATTTGCGGGGATCATTTATGAGTATGTTGACAGTCTATTTAAGGGAGTGTATAATATGTAAAAATATATATATATTTAACCAGATCGTTGGTCGAGTTGCAGCCGTAGTCCACCGACATGCTAGGCTGAAGTTTTCATCCGGATCACGAAACGTGTCCGTAAATGGAACGGTCATAGATTTTAAATCCGCGATTCGATTTATAATCTGTTGATTTCCGACCAAGAGTATTATGCCCAAAAAAGGACTTTAAAAATGAACTACAGAATCGAATCTTGCAGATATTTTTATAGTGTTATTAAAAAGTAAATATTGGCTATCCCTTTCAGATAATATTAAAACGAAAAGGAGGTAGTAATATTTGAAATGGTTTTAGGAAACATGCCTAATTCCGCGTGAGCTTGAATATCGCGGGCTTTTTTATAACGAAACAAATGTTTTATCCCATAAAATATAGCTGTTATTTACTGCCTTTTATTGCTGTTTCAATATATTTTCTGTACAATAAGTTTTGGTTTCTGACTATCAAACTGGGCAGAAGTGTACATATATCTCGATAGGTTGTCCAATATAGATCGCAGTATAAATACTTTTTCAAAGTGAAAAGTTTTCACATGTTGGCATTATTTAAATTAAAAATCGATTGTAGAATAAAAGCAAGACAGGACTTGAACCGGCATCCACAACGGTCCGTGCTGTTGAAGTGCTGTCTGAGTCGTAAATTTTTTTCAGCCTAAAGTAGATTATAATTTTTGTATAGAGTTGTCAATCCGAAAATAATACAAGTAATTAGATAGATTATTATTTATCGCATTAAAGAACTATAGCAGTATTTATTGCATACAGACCATCGTTATTAAAATCTGTTTTCCCTCAGGAATTCCCAAATAAATTGTCGCCAGAGTTTAGCTAAGCTCTTAAGTTAAACCGCATCATTTGTTAGACTTAGAACAATTCGGTATGAGTCTTCTGGTAAGAGAATGCAGGGTAATTAAAATACTAAAATGGGGTTTTTATCTCCGCAAACGCCGACACCCGACAGTAACAAGAAGATTGCTGGCTTAACATTTATCTTAAGGAGAGGTGCTTTTATTTTACGTCCTTTGTATTACGATGCTGATTGCGTACTTTTTCATTATAATTTAAACTGAATTGTAATGCTTTCCGGGAGTCACCATCAATGTTTGTAACAAAAACGTTGTGTGCGTTTCCTATCTTTGTTTTTCAGGCGTATGTATATATAACATAAATTTGTATCTGTTAACAACATTGAGATAGATAATATGAAAATTATAGGATCAGAAACATTTTATATGTCGTTGATGTATCTACTTTTAATAAATATTTGAATATGCCAGCTATATGAGAATATATCACGTTTAATACTAATACTACTTAAACGTATATAGTTTACGTGAGTAGTACACATTTAAATAAAACACTTTAACGGTTTAAAACGGACGGGAAACGGAGACTCAGTCTTCCAGTGACCACGGCTGCTGCAAAGCATCCGAAACATCGGGCCGAAGTTAAAAATCATTTTCAAATAAGTTTAACCAATATATCGTGTTTTAAACCGTTAAAGTGTTTTATTGAAATATATCACGTTCTTAAAATTTGTCTTTGACATATTGTTAGTACGAAGTCTCTAAAACGTGGAATAAAAACATAGTATTAATTAGTGACATGGTAATTGAATGGATAAGTAAGCTGTAATTTATGCCAGGGCTTCGAATCGGATAACTGGGATAAGTGCGGGAACTAATTTATTACTCTACTATTGATTCAAAGCTTTTAATGGTTAGTTCTATATTACTTGTAGTTACTGATAGGAATCACTTACCGTACAGATTACACTCACGATTGTACCTACAGAAT